AAATGTCCTTTTAACCTTGTGGTCTTAAGTAGGTCATGTGGAAAGTTAGTATTGAAGAGTAGCCAAAAAAAAGTAAACGGGCATTCTTTTTTAAACGAACTTAAAAGGAAACTATAACAAAAAATTGAAACGGAGGGAGTAATGGTTGTATCAGTAAGAGAGCAGACAGAGGTCAAAACAAATTTACATGTACTTAGTCCGTTAAAAGGAACTACATAAAAGTGTGTTTTCTCTGACGGATTAAACTTTTAGACGAGACAGTGACACTTCAACATCTTGAACATATATTCATTTAGGAAATTGAAGTTGATTACCTTTATCCAAGCAAAATCCCATTAAACCAACCAAGTTAGGATGTGATATCCTAAGCAAGACAGAGACTTCATCCAAGAACATCTTTGTTTCTCCACCTCTTTCCTCCATAACACGCTTCACCGCGCCTAATCTTCCATCTCCAAACTCAGCAAGATAAACATATGAAGTTGCTCCAACACCAATCCTAATCTTGAAGTCTTTGGTTGCCATTTTCAATTCTTCTAGTGCATAAGTTCTTATAATAGTACCATTTGAATCAACACTAACTTGATTTTCTTCATCAGGTTTGGTTTTTGCAAGTTGCTTATTGCCTTCACAATCTAGATAAACTATCAATTTCTTTAAGATGATTAAGAGAATGATAACAAGAGCTATTGCACTAGCAATCCAATAACTTCTTGGATTGGATTTGGAGAATCCAAGGAATCCCATGTTGGGATTCACGTTCGATCAAGAACTATAGTACTTGAATTTAATCAATCATATAGACATGTACATTTGGTTCTTTCTTTTGTTTTTGCATTGTTATGCTTGGATGATAACAAAGATTCATGAATTTGGCAATATGTTGCATTGACAATGATAAAAGGGGTGAAAGCAACTTATTGTATTGTTTTATGCTTGTGATTGTGAATAAACATTTGCACAAGGGTCTATATTGACCTCTCAAAGACAAAGATTTGAAATGAAAACAACAAAGTAACATATTTTTTTAAAAGTTGTATTGAATATATGATTTCCCCCCTGTTTTATAGTGACTAGAAGATCCAAAAAAATGTAACATTTCAATCTACTATGTTTCTATCCCAAATTACTTGTTTTACACTTTGGTCTTTTTTGGGCGTAAGTTTATATTTTCGTATCATAATATTTCTTATTCCATGCGTTCTTAAAGAACTTATGCTCAGATAGACCTGAGTTTGATTTCTAGAGGCAAAAATAAAAGATCCGTCTATTTGAAGGACAACAATTAAAGACCAGTCATCAAAAGGGTCAATCATATAATTAAGTGTTTTTGTTTATATAATGATTAACTTATATTTACATACCGGGTACTTGAGAGTTGAGAATACACAAAAAAATTGTAACGAAACAGTTTCATATAAGTATGCTTTATCATGTATCTAGTTATTAAATTAAAATTAGACGTAGTTCTTTTTTGACAAATTCAAGAGGGCTTTCGATATATTTATAAGCCTAAAATATCTATGTACAATTACAATATTTCAACCTGTTATAACATAGTACTTGCTTTATTTTCCAGGTCACAATATAGACGACAATAACGATAACAACATATTCAATATAATTTCATTAGTGTAGTATATTGTGAATAGTGTATACATTCTTACTCTTATTTTGGAAATTGAAAAGTTTTCGATAGATCTTTCGCTCAAGTAAAAACATTATAAAACAATTCGATAAAAAAAAAAGAGAGTGAAAATACGAATCTAATTAAATTTTTATCAATAAGTATATAAGATCAAACGCAGTCATGTGACCACTGACATGTGTTAGTCATGGGTAACATGCAAAATATGTATATTTTTGGTAGCAGCTAATTACCACTAATTTCCTTTTTTATATTATTGCAAAGTATTCCTTTTCCTAAATGGATTTTCTCATTAATTACAAAATCACTCTTTACTTTTAGGTGAATGATAGTAATAATTTCTCAAGCTAGACTGTTTTTCATTACAGTACATTTTTAGGGTTGGCTTGTACATACATTTTTAGGGTTGGCTTGTACATACATTTTTAGGGTTGGCTTGTACATACATTTTTAGGGTTGGCTTGTACATACATTTTTAGGGTTGGCTTGTACATACATTTTTAGGGTTGGCTTGTACATACATTTTTAGGGTTGGCTTGTACATACATTTTTAGGGTTGGCTTGTACATACATTTTTAGGGTTGGCTTGTACATACATTTTTAGGGTTGGCTTGTACATACATTTTTAGGGTTGGCTTGTACATACATTTTTAGGGTTGGCTTGTACATACATTTTTAGGGTTGGCTTGTACATACATTTTTAGGGTTGGCTTGTACATACATTTTTAGGGTTGGCTTGTACATACATTTTTAGGGTTGGCTTGTACATACATTTTTAGGGTTGGCTTGTACATACATTTTTAGGGTTGGCTTGTACATACATTTTTAGGGTTGGCTTGTACATACATTTTTAGGGTTGGCTTGTACATACATTTTTAGGGTTGGCTTGTACATACATTTTTAGGGTTGGCTTGTACATACATTTTTAGGGTTGGCTTGGGCTAAGATAGGAAGAAAGTATTAAAAAATTTATTTTCCAATGTTTTCGTATCTGTATTTATATAAAATTAATAAATATATCTCACATATTTTCTTCATATACACTCTAATCATTAAATCATAAGGCAAATAAATTAAATTGAAAAGAATTTTTTTAAATTTTTTTTTCATCTGTGTTTGATACCCATATTAAAGTCCGACTAAATTAGAAAAGTAAAGCGGTCGTAGCAAGGGGAAAAGAGCATCTAATAATACAAGTCCTTTACTACTCTTCCAAAAGGATTAGATTACTATAATTTCATAGTTTCCTTCATTTATAACACACCAAATGGCTTTTGCTCTTTTACCTATGATAAATCTCATCAGAAAAGTCTCACCAGTACCACTAACCATTGGTTAGTTTTTCAAATAATTAATATTTTTTTACTTCTTAATTAATGTAATGTAATTTGAGTTGATTACAAAATTTAAGAAGCTTTTTTTGAAAAAAAAAACTTATGATCTAAAATATATCATAGAATTGTCATATTGATATTGATATGATTATTAATTATTTCATAAAATAATAATACACACATTTTAAAATTATATTACAACAATTAAATAGAAAAATACATCATTATCTTTTAAGTCCTTTCTCCTTTTCGGATTCTTATCCCGTGCCTCATCAGAGTTCAACTAAATTTGAATTCACATTGGGGCTCCAGAAAGTCTTACATTGGAGGTAAAACTCTCTCTAACAAAGATGATTTTCTATCCAAGAAGACTCAAATCAGAGACTTCACTAAATAGGAGGGGCACTGAAAAATCTTACATTGAAGGTAAAGTGCTCCTAACAAAGACAATTTCGTACCCAATGGACTCGAATTCTCTCTCTCCTCTCTTCTCTTATACATATACAAATACAAATTATACATATACAATTATATGACAGATAGGGGTGTACAAAATCGAACCAAATCGCAAACCGAGTCAAACCGGAAAAAAAACCCGATTAGTGGTTTGGTATTGGAAAAAAAAACCCGACTATATTTGGGTTGATTTGGTTTTAACTAAAAAAACAACCCGAGACCAAATCAACCCGACATTATATATGTAATTTTAAAATTTTATTTTATACATAAAAATATTTACTTTGCTATAATTTTAAAATATTTCTTATACTATTTCATAATTTTTATCTTTTAATATATTATTTCAAGTTTAAAACTTAGAATTCGGAATGGTCCAATAAAGATTATACTTCATAGATGTTGATACTAATAATAAAACTTAAATCAAAATCAAATTAATACTAATGCAAAAAGAAAATCATTTCAACTCTAAGAATGATAATAATATTGAATATTTGTTCTTTAGTTTTACATTGGTTTAGACAATTAAAATACATAATCTAATTTTAATTTTCCTTAAATATTTAGTATTGTAACTAATGCTTATTAAATTATAATAATTTTCATTATGACTTTGCAATATTTATTTTATATGATGATTTCATTATTATTTTTATTGAATATTTTAGTGTCATCAGTACTCATCTCATATTTTGTGTTATTTTCTTAAGAAACACCTTAGATAATTGTATTTTGATTGGACTAAAGAATATTTAGAGCACAAGTTAATTATATGTTTGTATGCAAACTTTACCGAAAAAATTCAAAAATCTGGAAAAATCTGAGGTTTATTAGTTTGGTTTGATTTATAAATTTAAAAATTCGACACAATGGATTGGTTTGGTATTTGAAAAATCCGAACCAACCCGAGATTGAAAAATCTGAAAAAATCCAAATTTTATTAGTTTGGTTTGGTTTATAAATTTAAAATTTTTACACAAATAGTTTGGTTTGATATTTGAAAAACCCGAACCAACTCGGTCATGTACACCCCTAATGACAGATATACAAATACAATTCGCCTCTCTCCACTCTCCTCTCTTCTCCCTCTAACATGTAGCTACAAATCGTAATTAACAAATTATAACTATGAATCCTAATTAAATTATTTTTAGTGGCTATTTGCAAAACTTTTCCCCATCCCGTATCGGAACCCACATTAGACTTAGACTAAATCTGAATTCGCGTCGAGGCTTCGAAAAGTTTCACATTAGAGGTAAAACGCTCCTCAACAAAGACTACTCTGTATCCAAAAAGACTCAAACCAGAAACCTCACTAAATCGGGGGGATTCGAGAAATCTCACATTGGAGATAAAGTGCACCATAACAAAGCTTATTTCGTATTCAAGGAAAATCAAACCCAAAACATAAAAACGAAAGATTAGTTACCACTCGAGTACAAATTTGTTTCTTTGTTTTGTAGCATGTGACTATCTGTCATAGACCGAAATATAGAAAAAGATGAGCACCGATCCAAATATTACTACTCCACTAGCAAGCAGCACGATTTCTACTTAATCCAATAATTCATTACTTATTTAATCAATCAAATTAATAATATTAATCTCTATTCACACAGATTCCGATTTCAGACAGCTTTGATGGCGGTTGACTTTTCGCCACCTTTGATGGCTGCTATACTACTAAATCACTAGTTCAAACTCCCACAAAATCCTCAAAAATATAGTTAATTCCTCTGTTTTCTCATCTGGGTTTTCAAGAATGGAATAGATTAGGAGGATTTAAGAGTGAAAAAAGATGGCTTGGGAGAACCCATTTAAGGAAATGGCGAATTCCAAGCCATTGTTCTTGACGATCTATGCTACTGTCTTGATCGGAATTGTATTCTCTTCGGTTTATGTATTTTCAGCTATTTACTCTTCTCCTAATTCCACCTTTTCCCTTTCCATGGCTCCTTCCACTTCTTCAGGTACCCATTTCTTATTTCGCTTTATGCTTTTTCTAAAAAGTTTTGATTTTTTCATATCCCAGTAGTGGTTCATTGACCATCAAGGGGAGCATGGGTCACGGGTAGAATCTTGTGTGTCCGGCCCTTCCTCGGATACTGTGTATAGCGGGAGGTTAATGCACCGGGCTGGCCCCTGTTTTTTTTCAGTAGTGGTTCATTGACTTTGTTAATTAACTGTTTTTTTCTCTTCAGAATGATTATTACAGTCTATTTTATAAGATTCTGAGGTTTATGGATATCTGCATTTGGGATTTTCTACAATACTTGTATGTTTATAGGGGTGTACTGGAGTGTACAACAACATACCCAGTATAATCCCGGCTCTGGCAGTATAGGATGTACGTAGACCTTACCTCTACCTTTGTTGGGTAGAGAAGCTGTTTCGGTTCAAAAGAAAGAAATGTACTGGAGTGTCTGAGAGAGAAAGAAGTTCGCATTTTTCCACTGACTTTTCAATCTAACAATGGGATTTAAGTAATTTGTTTATATACCTGTTATGTCTTGGAAAAAAAGAGTTTTCTTTTGTAGTTTCTCCTCAATTGTTCATCATTGATTGTTCAGAAACTTAGTTAACATTCAACGGGTTTAAATCTTATGAAATCACAAGATTAATTTCAAGGTCTGAAGTCTAGTTTGACTGGGTCGAATACAGTAAGAACCTGTTTAAGAGAGTTAGTTTGAGTCTTAAAGCCGTGAAATGGATAGTTCATGTTGTTAAGCAGCCTCAAAAGTTCAGAGAATGCCAGTTAAAGGATGGAAAATCAAAGATTTCTTTGCAGAGTTTTATGGCACACTGGAGTACATTCTCCTTCCCTGGTTTGTCTTCTTTGTATGAAGATAGTTAGAGAAGGTAGGATGTTGAAGAGAACTAGTCCTTTGAGGATTCCAATATCTTGAAGTGTGATAGCAAATTATTTGCATTTGTGGAGCGGAATATGAAGAAATAAAAAGGAATAACTGGATGCAATGTTGGATCGACAAATGGAATATCGTGACAATGTTTGTATTGGAAGGAGAACATGTTGTCTTGGATAGACTTTTGAATCCAAGCAGCATTTGGTGCTTAAATTTTAGTTTTGAGGAGACTGATTTATGTCACTCTTTCACAAAGAGTATGGTGGGTTGGTTCATTTTTTTCACCTATCTTATTTTGGATTTGGCTTTTTTGTCATACTAGTTGGACTTGGGCGTGAGCTGAGGTCGCATTCTGACTTATCAATTTGACTTTCAACACTTTTTGGTTCTTATAATGGGAGGGGGAGTGCAAGGAGAGAGAAAGTAACTGATTTATTTCCCCTAGGTGAAGTATTGATGATTACTTGTGGTTTTTGGTATGTCCGGAAGGGAAGATGAGTAATATACATCCTCCTTTCTTTTAGCTCTGGACAGATTGTAGAAGCTGAGGTGGAAGGGTACTCAACCTTCTTACTTTTACTTCCTTAGAATAGGAGGAAGTGACCTGCACCTGCTACTTTTACTTCCATTCCCCAGCTCTTTTACTTTCTTAGCTATGGAGGAAGTGACCTGCACCTGCTACTTCTACTTCCATTCCCCAACTCTTCCTCCTTTTCACCCTAACCAAATATGGCTTTGCCGATGGTTTTTATTAGTTTCCAAGTACTAAATTTTTATTGTATAAATGATACATGAGCTCTTGGATACAGACTTACGAAATCATTCATTTGGAACTCTTACGAGATGCATGCACGGAGAGAGTTACCAACAATGGATTTCAAATTTTGTATATACATTTGGAGCCTATTGGTTTGACTAATATTTTTGTTTACCCCTCCCAGGAGCTCCCACCCCTTTTTTCTCCCTTGGTGACTCAAACCCACAACCTAAGGGTTGGAGGTGAGGGGTGCTTACCATCCGAGCAACTCCCTCTTGTACTTTATAGTGGTTTGGCTTGCTTTGAATTGCAGTTCTCTAGCGCTGATTGTTGTCCAGCTATCATCTGCATCTTTACAAAGGTGCTAGAATGCTTGCTTATTTGATTAATTTTGAAGTATATTCTTAGAGTTTATAGGACCGGTTACCTCCAGTCATGACTGAGGTTTCTGGAGAATCATTCTCTCCAGAAGCCAACAAGAGATAAAGAGCACCTCAAATGCCTAAATTCTGCTGTTGTCTTCAATTTACCTTCTGTCAACATTTGTGTATTTCGTCTGTGTAGATATGTTTAAAACGATTTTAATCTATATTTCCTTCTTCTTCCTTTCCTTTGCCTATTTTTAGTTCTTTATACTGTGCACAAGAAAATCAAAGCAATGCATTTCTGTTGCAGATGTAAAAGCAGAACCTTCAGTTCAAGCATCAAACTTTTCTCATCGACAAGTAGATGATGCTTCAATACCAGTGAAACCCCAGCATCAAAGCAAATTATTGAAGCCAATTTGGAAAGTTCCCCCTGCGGGTTCAAAGATGCTAGATTTAGAAACTTTTAAATTATCAAAAGAACTGGTGCAGGAAAGAGTTACAGACAATATTGTAGTTGTGACCTTTGGTAACTATGCTTTCATGGATTTTATCTTGACGTGGGTTAAACATTTGACAGATATGGGTGTTGAGAACCTTCTAGTCGGTAAGTGATACATATATTTGTCTTTTACTAAGTTTTGTTTTTGTTGGCATAGAGGGTAATATTTGTTTATTTGAATACTGAAAAGACCACGAAGTTTGAAATTGTCAGGTGCAATGGACACAAAGCTATTAGAGGCGCTTTATTGGAAAGGAGTGCCAGTTTTTGATATGGGTAGCCATATGAGCACTGTAGATGTTGGATGGGGCTCACCAACATTTCACAAAATGGGGAGAGAGAAAGTTGTACTCATAGATTCTATCTTACCTTATGGCTTTGAACTCCTAATGTGTGATACCGATATGGTGTGGTTAAAGGTATGATTTGTCTATCTATTCCTCGTCTTTTGAACCAGCTGATCTTTTAGAATTTCTGGTGATTGATAACAAATTTAAGATTCTTTATGACTGGGTCATTGGTGTGGTTAAAGGTAATGCTTTTCTTATCTACTAACCCGTCTTTCGGAAACTAGCTGATATTTCTGGATTATTGAAACTGTGGGTCTTATTATGAGTTGTTAATTGGTTAAGTTGATGGTGTTAGTACTTCAGTTTGGAGATTTCAAGGTAGGTGAATGAAAGAGAGAATATTTTTGGGTTCAAAATGACAGGATTTCATTCTTTGACTTGTCTTGCAAAGACCACGAGTGGGAGAAGAAGCAAAAAAAGAAGTAAAAGAGTTGATCTGAATGTCATTAGGTGAAACATGAACATCACATTGCCTCAGGCACTATATGAAATCAAGATGAAGACCTAATATTCATGAAGATCAACTGATAATACTCTACCATAATATATCAATGAAAGAAATAAAATCTCCACCATTTAATTGGATCAGAACACGGATACTTTTGAATGTACCACCTTTTCATTATTGTATGAAGATTGGAGCAGACCAGTTCGAAAGAACTCATCCGTATTTTAGTTGTAAGTATATTAACCCTCCAGATGAAGTAGGACTATATAAAACATTGAACACTGCAAAGCTTTGTAAATGTGAACAAATTATCTCTATCATCTAGTGGATTCATAACTTGGTAAAGTTAGGCTAGATCAGACTAGCTGCAATAGGAACAGCTGCTGATGCAGGAGGCATGCACAAGAAAAAGCGAATATCTTGTCTTGGCTGTTTCTATATGAATATAGAATTGTATGCAAATATATTGATTCTTTGCTTGTTAGTGCTTTATTGGTGGCATGTCTAGCACTTCTCCCGTTAACATGTGTGAGAAATATAGGAAAAGAATATTATTGAATTGTTGTTGTTTACATTATTACATTGAGACCCTATTTATAGACCCTAGAATACAATTCTTTACCAAGTAGGATACTATTTAGTATTCCTATTTCTATTTCTATTTCTATTACTATTCCTATTCTAATAGAATTGTATATACCTATTTCTATTCTAATAGGATTGTATAAACCTATTCCTATTCTAATGGGATTGTATAAACCTATTCCTATTCTAACATAAGTAAACATATACAATTGTTTTCGGTGTTAAGCATAGAGTTTTCCTTGTTCACAGAAACTCTATTGCTCCTTCCCTTCCAAATGACCCACCAATCACAAGTTCGGTCATTGATAACGAAGTTCCAAATACATGAACTTTTTTGGCTTTGATTGCTTATTAAGCCTTATCTCTCCCTCCCCCAACCCACCCCCCAAGTAGGATACTATTTAGTATTCCTATTTCTATTTCTATTTCTATTACTATTCCTATTCTAATAGAATTGTATATACCTATTTCTATTCTAATAGGATTGTATAAACCTATTCATATTCTAATGGGATTGTATAAATCTATTCCTATTCTAACATGGATGCTGGTGTAATGTGGTGTCAGGGGATAGTTTGGAGTTTCTGGGTCCATGTACCAGAACCTTTATTAACTGTGGAATTTAACTTTGTCTACTACTTATCCTTAAAGATGTTAATGTCTTCTTTATTTTTTTCGTTCACTAATTTCTGAAGTGTTCTCCTATTGCTGCATCCTTTCATATTTTCTTGCTGTTAAGTTGTTGACTGCATAGTCACTATCTATCTCTAGGTGCTTTAGGGAATTCTTGTTTCACGTTCTTTTTCTTTTTATATTTTGTGTTCTTTTGGTAAGTGTAATTCTTGTGTTGCTTTATCTTCATCTTGCTAATTCTAATGCCAAATTCTGCATGCTATGTTCAACGAACAGAACCCTCTTCCTTATATAGCACGTTTCCCTGAAGCAGATGTATTGACCTCTACCGATCAAGTTGTACCAACAGTTACCGATGACAGATTGGACCTGTGGCAACAAGGTAATACTTTTATGGAAACAAAGCTTTTCACAGTTTGAATCACCATCTAACTTCAGATTATTCTTTTGTCATCCTTTAATATCAGTAGCTTCTATATTTGTTATATAGGAGGTAAGGTTTGTACCAAGAAGTCGCTCTTGGCTTAGTTAGATTTTAGGTTTAATGGAACTCGCTTATCACGTGGGTTTTACTTGTGGTGGAGAACTGCTGTGTTCTATTCTTGTCTTAGATGTGATCTTACTTAATGTCCAGACCTTCTTCTCTTCACTGCTATTACATTTGAATGAAATCTGAAGCACTTTAAAACAGATTATTAGTATTTGATTCATATCTTATTAGTTGTGAAAGATAAGTGTTTGAGTGCGAGTGACATTGCATTCAATACTGTTCGCTGGCTAAATGAGCAGCAGCATGCTTCCTTTTTAATAATTTTTGTGGAAGATGTTGCTTTTACTTTTGATATCCAGTGAAATTCATTGTCCTATTCATTAAGTGATAGGGTGTTTACAGGTACTTGGTCTTGCTGAGTGCAAATAGTCACTTTAAATCTTAAAGGGTTCTGACTTCTGTTGATCTCTAAGGCTCCACTGTGAAACTTTGACATGTCTTATGCTCCACTTTATTCATCACATCTTATAAGGCTCCACTGTGAATCTATGACATGTCTTATGCTCCACTTTATCCATCACAACAGACTCATAATGATCAAAATGCACAAGAAATTATAGTTGCCTGAGATGCTTAGATTAATTTGCTTGTTTTCAAGTTGTGGCTTTGAGATTCTAGAAAAGTACTATCATGTGTATTTGGATGGAATTATGTGCAGCCATCTTTAAATTCAACGACATACCAAGATTATAGTTCTAAGATGGTTCCCTAAATCTTGAAGGTGAAGGCTATAAGCTTTAATGGGCTTAGAGAAATTTGTTAAGGACATGGAGAGATGCATACCCTTGGTGTCAATCTTGATTTTTGTCTACACATTTAAGGAAGGACTACATTTTCTCTTTAAGCATTTTTTGGGAGGTCTTGTCGTCCTCCTACTTTATGCTCTCTCTTTGTCTTTCTTCTATCCTGTGAATTTATTTATTTGTCTGTGGGGAAGTCTACTGATGGGCTGAGCCATATGCGTGGAAGTTAGAGAATTGTACTCCTTTCTAATAAATATTAGAGAATCAAACTCCTACGCGAAAAATCTTAGTATGATTAAGATCAGGTGTTAACTGATCTCTGCAGTTTGCAGATCCGTCACTTCTCCTGAGCACATCATAGTTACTGTTATAGTTGATGGGTCATTAAATTGTCATTAGTTGTTTATATATGTGTAGTTTGCGGACCTATTGGTTTTCCCTTATTCGTTGAGCATTAGGACGTCTTCATCAGTCATTTTGTTAAATAAGAACTTTATCTCTTCCTTGCATAGTTGGCGCTGCTTATAATATTGGAATCTTCCATTGGCGGGCTACTGAGTCCGCAAAGAAACTGGCCAGAGAATGGAAAGAAATGATTTTAGCTGACGACAAGATATGGGATCAGAATGGTTTCAATGAACTTGTGCACAGACAGTTGGGACCTTCTGTTGATGATGACAGTGGGCTCGTCTATGCTTATGATGGAAATCTCAAACTTGGTCTTCTCCCGGCAAGTATTTTTTGCAGTGGGCATACCTATTTCGTCCAGGTAATTCCTCATTTTGGAGGTTTTGTTTCTTTTCTCAACTTTTACCATCCTGATATCAAATTCCTGTTACTTGCTTGGTGAAAATGTTAATCTTACTTAATTTATCTCTGAACTAGCTAGATTACTCCTAAGCTTGCACTGTAGTCACTGCAGAATGTTTTCTTATGCCCCTTTTGCTGTTGCAGTCTATGTTTCAACATCTAAGACTGGAGGCTTATGCTGTACATACAACATTCCAATATGCTGGAACGGAAGGAAAGCGTCACCGATTACGTGAAGGCATGGTGTTCTATGATCCACCTGAATACTATAATCCACCAGGTTTCTCCTGCTTTACCCTTATTAGCATTTTATTCTCCTTTTATTATAAATAAAATAATATGTTTTCACTACTGGGTCAGCATTCACATTTTTATTCCTTTCTAGCTTGCAAGTTGCAAGTCTCCCTCGGATATCTTTGTTTTGCTTTTGCATCTTCTATGCCTGCTCATTGGACCTTCTAACTATTGTAACTTGAAGAAAAAGTGAAGTGGTCTTTTTCCCACCTGGCCTCCATAAATCCTGTACGGATCCAACAACCACTTCAAGATGATGGAAGTTGTCAAAAATCATGAACCAACATAACTTTTTAGATTTTATCTGTCAGGACAGCTGCAGTCATATCTCTTATACAACTATACCTCAATCCCAAGCAAGTTGTGGTCGGCTATGAATCCTCAGTTACCATGCTGCTCAATTAAGTTTATCTTAGACCCATATTATACTTTTTCAACTTTAGTAAAATACAACATATTTTGATCGACATAAGCATTACTTCTTTTTATTTGTATGCAATATATGGTCAAGAATCAGGATTTTATTGCCTTAGAAAGTCATACACTTTTCAATCTCAAAAATAAAGCTTGGACAAGTGAATTTCCATACAAATGTTACCCCTTAATGCTGAAAGGAATAATTGTGTCTTAAATTGTATTTAAATAGATGTCTAGATCAAGATCAGACTTTATCGGAAATATATCCTGCTTTGTAATAAATTTTACTAACAACAAATTTGGTGTAATTATTCCTTTTTTTTTTGGAAATAAACAAGTATAGTTTGGTGTGTGTTAATTAATCCTTCGTGCAGGAGGGCTTTTGACTTTTAAGCCGTCAATCCCCAAGAACTTGTTACTGGATGGAGAGCATTCCATAGATACACACTTCACTCTTGTTAATTATCAGGTAAGCAACAACCAACACTGTTGTACTGTTTTATTTATTATTTTACGGACTTGCTTGCATTTCTTAAGTATACTTATTGGATTATTGTTCCTTAGATGAAACAAATAAGGACTGCGCTTGCTGTTGCTTCAGTGCTGAATCGTACCTTGGTGAGATACTACCCTGATCATTTGCTTTTATCTTACATGCTTCATATATTTTGTGAACTCTGCATCTCCACCATGTATAGTGAGCTATAAGATGAGAAGATAAAAGATTATCTTTTATATGGATACTTCACACTATAAATTACAATATGTTAGCAACACTTCCTGCTCTTATGTGTAATAAGCATGGCAGAATCATATTTGAATTTTTAGATTCATTTTGATAAGATCCGGAGTCCTTGTTCCTTTAACCATGTAAGCTGGTGAATTACCTTATCTTTCATTGTTACCCCAAAAAAGTACACTGTGATTTATGTTGTTCTTTGTGATTTTAGGTAATGCCGCCACTATGGTGCAGGTTGGATAGGTTGTGGTTTGGACATCCTGGTATTCTGCCGGGTTCTTTGACAAGGCAACCTTTTGTTTGTCCTCTAGATCATGTTTTTGAGGTACGTATTTCATTTTTTAAAGCGTTAATATTTGGATGTACTCACCCCATGAAACGAAATAACTGACACGAGAAACTGTTCTATACGATTGTCAATGAATTAATTTTGCATTCTTTTTTATGTGTGGGATCACTCTGAGATGTGAATGTGGAGTTTCTGGAGTTTTAATACCCGTGTCTTGATAATGTACTCAGTTTCTCTCTAGGACTATTTAAGTTTCTATTGGTTCAATTTTATGGATACTGTAAAATAGTTTTGTCAGAGATTAGCAAATTATATCTTCTTTGACCAATATTTAGAATCTGCCAAATTACTAAGGGGTCGTTTGGTAGAGTATTAGCAAAAATAGTGCATGTATTAACTCTGTGTATTAGTAATACCTTGTTTGGTACTCTTTTTCATGCTATGTATAACTAATACTTGCATTAGTTATACACTCTATTGTGTGTTAAAATATGTATTACTAATACCATAGATTTCTAGGTATTAGTAATGCAAGGGGTTTTAATGCATGCATTAACATGGTTAAAGGCTCAATTACCCCTCAAAATCTTTTTTACATCTTTTCCACCATAATTGTGAAGGGTATCTTTGTAAATAAATATTTTTATGCAATGCATACTATTTTTATACACCAAACCAACAATGCATAAGAAATAATCTATGTATTATTATTTATTAATGCAAGCATTACTAATACACTTTACTTAACATTATTCTTACACACATTACCAAACGACTCCTAAAGGTTAATGAAGGTTCATTGTGTTCTTATAACTCAGTTGCTCTTTGGAGTGCACTTATTTACATTCTAGTTCACTGTTCAGAAGTTATCAGATGACCTCAATGATGAGACTGATGAAATCTCGCTGCTGGGTCAGTCTTGTCGTAGGTTCATTTAAGGAATGCCTAAGCCTTGAAGCTCTGAAAATCTCAGGGGAGGTGCTTCGCCTCGCTTAAGCTGCACTTTAGTGTAGGCAAGGCACTAACATGTGCCTCAGTGCACTTGAATAATATCTTGAATTGAGCACTACTAAACATTGTTAAGGAAAACATTATGAACGAATCTGTTACTTCTTTTCTTGCTTCATATACATTTTCTTCATTGCGTCTCTTTTTTCTAAAGCCCATACTTTCAACTGCGCTTTGTGCTTAAAGTCCTAATGGATTTGGAGTGCTTTTTATAGTGTTTCGCCTTTGACAACACTGCTGCTAGTTGGAGTTTCTCACCCTGATTTTCTATTTGTACAGATTAATGTGATGTTGAAGGAAATGGCAAATGAGGAATTTGGACCTGGGATCAATATTAGGGAGTACTCACTATTTGAAAATCCATCAATGCCGCAAGAGGTGTTCCATTAGTTTCATACCTTCTTTACATAAAAGCGTGCATCATACAATTCACAGATTAATACTCTCCTATTATTCTTTCAGGTTAAAAAGTCATGGCTTGATGTACATCTCTGCCAAGAAGGGTCACCGGGCTGTCAGGTTAATAGTACAAGTCAAAGCGGGGTTCTCAAACTTCCCAAACATAGTACAGAAGAAACGGTAATTCTGATTTTTCTCTTCCCTTTAATCTTTGACCAGACAAGCTCCATGGTTGCAAAATCAAGTACTATATAAATGAAACATGCTTACTGGAGTATAACAAGAGTAAAAGCTGAAGTTTGGAGAGCGAGAATAGTAACAGCCATGAATTTCATCTGGTTCGGTGATTGCCAGCTTAGCCTACCTTAGCGAATGATTCAATTCTCACCTAGAATTTCTATCTCATTTCTTTTACTTTCATCCCCCTCTAGACCCACATTCATTTTTACCCAAGAAATAAAATTTGGAGGGGTGAGAGCGGTGTTGGACATAAAGGGTAGAAACAGCAACACAATGCTATCGTCTTCTAAATCTTTGAGCTTTAATGAACTCATTGTCTTCAAATAAAAAGACGGTTCACTTACTTGGTTTATTTATAAACAGTTGAAGACGGCATTCTCCAAGTTTAAGGATGTGAAAGTAATCCAGTTCTCATCAATGCAAGATGCCTTTGATCGTTTTACGGACAAGGTAATATCCCCTCAGTCTACTCCCCCTTCCTGCAATTCTCTCCCTCTCATTTGTTCTCTATGTATAGTTTTCCATGAACTAAAATGGAGAATAACATGTACTCAATTTGTATCAGACAAGGGAAGAACAATTCAGGAATCGTGTCAAGAGGTATGTAGGCATTTGGTGTTGCGTGGAGACTGGCACACCAGGTCACATATACTATGATATGTATTGGGATGAGAAACCTGGCTGGAAAGCAGCTCCTCCCAACTCTACAAAAGATGATCATCCGCCTTGGTGAGGCCTTGGACTCCATTACCCTCAGAGAAGTGTGAAAAGAAATGCTCTATAACACCTTGCAATTCAAGAGGGATGTACCATTGTTTCATAGAGAAATGTACTTTTGAATCTATAGAGTTGGTATGAAGGATTAGTCCTTCATTAGGATAGAACATATGTGCTTTTTTTATGTACAAGCAAAAAATTTTGATTGTTCCAACATTAGAAAAGTACAAAATAATGAAGTGTATAATTTTGATTTGAGTAAAGATGGCAGCTAACCAAATGGTTATCATTAGTGCAGTATGCAGAGGGGTTGAAAGTTGAAACTAATCAACTGTTCAAAACCTTCATTTTCTATTTTTCCTGAAGAACAATGTTAGCATATTTCTATGAAAGAATTATATTCATAAATGATTAAAATGGAAAAGGGTCACTCATTTATAGAAAGTCACTTAATAAAATCTGTTTTTTTATACCTCTCCTTAGAAGCTCCCACACTTTATTTTCTCTCTTGGTGACTCGAACTCACAACCTAAGGGTTAGAGGTGAGGGGTGCTTACCTCCGAGCAACTCCCTCTTGTACTCTATCGTAGTTTGGTTTGTGATTCTCTAGTGCTGATTGTTGTCCAGTAATCATCCACATTTTTACAACAGTGCTAGGATGCTTTACCTTTATTAGCATTCTATTTTTTTCTTACTTTAAAAATACATTATATTTTCACTATGAGTCAGCATTCTTACGATTCAGGAATCATGTCAAGAGTTATGCAGGCATGTGGTGTTGCTTGGACCATTAGGTACTATGATATGTATTGGGATGAGAAACCTGGCTGGAAAGCAGCACCTCCCAACTCTACAGAAGACTATCATATGCCCTGAGACAAGTGTTAAAAGAAAGGCTGAATCCATCGATGGCTCCTTAAAGTTGACACCAGTTTTCACTTAGACATCTGAGTGTTAAAAGAAATGCTACTCCAGTGTCTCTATAACACCTTGCAATTCAAGAGGGATGTACCATTTTGTTTCATAGAGAAATGAACTTGACTTACTTTCTCACCCACAAAATATCAAAATGATAGTACAAAGATCTCTCATATCTTATGCTTTATATTTTTCATATGTAATTATAAATTTATCTTTAAAAAGAGATAAAATTAAAATTATAAAATAGCAAGACAAAAATTAGTTCTACCCCAAAAAATATATTCTTTGATTAAATTTTTCACGCTATTGATGAAGATTCAATTCGTAATTCTCTTCCCCTTACCCCCAAAATCACATTTCCCATTTTATGTTTCCGTTTCTAATTCTCAGTCACTCACATAGTGTCACGATTAGAGTATCTCCGAAAAGAAAGGGTCACACACTTCACATAGGCATTTCCGTTTAATCTACACCGTCCACGTAACAACTTTTCACTACATGTCATCATCTTAACACACTCTAATTTACCACTACTCCTTAACCCCTGTCACTTTAGCGTAACTAACCCTCGAGTTGGAAGTGACGGATGCTTATCATTCGAGCAACTCTCTCTTGTCCCCTAGATATATATAGCGTGTAGACTTCTAGCACTTTTGTTATTTAGTGAGTGTTTACTCCAAATCAATAAAACATATGACATGTGTTTCAAAGCTATTCAAGGTGAATGCATAATCTCATATAACACTGATCCTTTTCACTTTCAAAAATGTGTTAGAGAAACTGAAATGGGCATAACATGAAAAAGCTGTCCAAATATGGATATAAAGCTCTTTTCTTTTGCCCATCACTGTCCAACAAAATCTCTCAACATGTACCACCTTTGCACCTCTCCTCTCATACCCTTTTCCCCAAAGATAACTTCTTTATTACATATGGGAAAGCTCAAGTTTGTGCTTACACTTCCCCTGCCACCCACCAACTGTTTGATAAAATGTCACAAAGAAGAATTCAAGATTCCAATAAAAGCAAAGGGGATGAAATATTTGAACTTGTTAACATGGTTAAAGAAAATCCTGATATCTTAAGTGCTTCACAAGTACATGGCTTAGTGCTTAAAGTAGGCATGCTTGCTCATTTGCCCACTGTTACTACATTCCTCATTATCTACTCAAGAGCCAAGAATTTAAGCTCTTCATTGACCCTTTTTGCTGAAATTATCAATAAAGATATAGTTACCTGGAATGCTATCATGACAGCATGTATAGAGAACAATTTTTTTGGATTTGCAGTGAATATCTTTGCTGAAATGGTGAATGAAGGAAAGCAGTTCGATTCTGCCACGCTTGTTATTGTCATTTCTGCATTATCCAACACGAGAGATTTGAGAAAGGGATTGGTTGTTCATTGTTTAGGTATGAAAATGGGAATGCTTTCGGATTTGATTTTGGGAAATGCTCTGATTGATTTTTATGCAAAATGTAGTCATTTGAGCTCATCGGAGTGTGTATTTCTCGAAATAAAATGTAAAGATGTCGTTTCCTGGAATTCAGTTATTAGTGGTTGTCTTTATAATGGTCATCCTGAGAAGTCTTTGTTATACTTCAAGCAGATGGCTGCTTTGGAAAAAGGTGCTGATAGTGTGAGTCTCTCTTGTGCTATTGCTGCTTCTGCATGTTTAGATGAGTTTGGTTGTGGTCAGGCTATTCATGGATGGGGTATAAAGCTAGGATATGAGGAGAGGTGCCACCTTTCAGTGGCAAATTCCCTCATTTCATTGTATTCCCAATCTGGGGACACTGATGCTGCTGAATATATCTTTAATAAAATGGAGTATACGGATATAATAACATGGAATTCAATGATAAGTGGATTCGCTTTGAATGGAAAAATTACTGATGCATTTGATGCTCTTCATGAAATGCAGTTCATAAGGACCATAGAACTGGATGCTGTGACATTAATTTCCATTATTCCGCTAGTTGCAGAATTCATGCTATTGAGAGACGGGAAAGCTATGCATGCCTTTACCATGCGAAGAGATATGGGAGCAGAACTCTCGATGATGAATGCTCTCATGGATATGTATTTTAACTGCGGAAGGGTCAAGGACGCTGAGCAGCTTTTCTTAAATATGCCAAAGAAAGATATAGTTTCATGGAATACCATAATCTCTGGGTATTCCCAGAATAGCTGGTGTAGAGAAGCTCAGTCATTGCTTAAGAAGTTCCACAGTGGGAACTCAGAATGCAGCCTGTCGACTCTCTTGGGAATTCTTCCTGCTTGTGACTCCCCCAACTTGATTCAATTTGGAAAGTTGATCCACTCGTGGGAGGTGAAGTTGGGATTTGTAAATAATACCATCTTAGTAAATTCGTTGATGTACATGTATATTTGTTGCGGTGATCTAGTAGCTTCTTTCAAATTACTGGAGGAGATAGCTTATACTGCTGATGTGGATAGCTGGAATACTGTGATTTCGGGATGCACACAGAATGGCCACTTCTGGGAAGCTTTAAATGCTTTCAAGTTAATGAGACTCAAATCAAACATCATCCATGATACTATTACTCTAGTCAATATCATACCAGCCTTTGGAAATCTTGAATTGACATGTGAAGGAAAGTCAATTCATGCCCTAGCTTTAAAGACCTCAGCTGGTCAAGATATTCGTGTGCAGAATGCTCTCACTACTATGTATGGAAAATTGAGTGACATGGAAAGTGCAACATCAGTGTTTGAACTTTGCTTATATCATAACTTATGCTCTTGGAACTGCATGATATCTGCTTTAGCTCAGAACAAAAATTCTAAAGAAGCAATAGAATTTTTCCGTTTGCTTGAGTTTGAACCAGAGGAGATCACCATGGCTACCATTCTTTCAGCTTGTCGGCAACTTGGAATTATTAGACATGGCAAACAGATCCATGCACACCTCATCCGATCTGGTTTTTACATAAATGCTTTTGTATCAGCTGCTCTTGTGGATATGTATAGCAGTTGTGGCAGGTTAGACATTGCTCATCAGGTATTCCAGAGTTCAGCAGAGAGATCTATTGCAGCTTGGAATTCAATGATTTCTGCATATGGTTTCCACAGCAATGGTCAGAAAGCAATTGACATCTTTCATGAGATGATTGATTCGGGACTTACTCCGTCTAAAGTCACATTTATCAACTTATTAACAGCTTGCAGCCATACAGGGCTTGTTGACCAAGGCTTCTGGTATTACAATCATATGCTTGATGAGTTTGGAGTTCAACATTCGACAGAGCATCATGTCTGCGTGGTTGATATGTTAGGCCGATCAGGGAGGCTGCACGAGGCATATAATTTTATAAAAGAGCTTCCAAGCCCACCTGATCCAGGAATCTGGGGTGCTTTACTCAGTGCTTGCAATTATCATGGCGATCTTCAATTAGGGAAAGAAGTAGCAAGTATACTGTTTTCGTTGGAACCTGAGAATGTCGGATATCATCTTGCATTATCCAACATATATGTTGCTACTGGAAGCTGGAAGGAAGCTGGAGAGTTGAGGGACATTGTTCATATAAAAGGGTTAAAGAAATCTGCTGCTTATAGTATTATTGATCTTGGCTCCAGCTGAAACATCATGAAGGAAACCTCGTGGTTTAGTGGAGCAAAACAGCTAACAGAGCATTTTGTTGAGTGTCTAGAAGAAACTATCCAGCTTCTATTGGCCTTTGTTGCTGGTAGAACCTGAGGTTCTTTTTCTTTTTTTTCACCCCTCGTAGGTGCTCCCACCTTTTTGCTCCTTTGGTTACTTGAACCCATAACCCTAAAGTCGGAGATGGAGGGTGCACCTACGAGGGGTAAAAAAATTTTTCTCTTGATCCTTAACTATGCTTAATGTTGAAATCATTAATGATTGGCAAATCAGTAGATCCATTTGCAATCCTTTGGAGTTATTATCTGAATGTTATGTATTTCAAATACTTCGCGTGATGCCTAAAGAGAATACATCTTTTGCACCCTCAACTTGATCCTTGAATCTACTTGCACTAACATAAATCTCAAGATATATAAGAACATTGAAGAAATGCATACTAAACAATAAGATAAAATCACTTTTTCAATATTATTATTTGTATGAGGATCACAAAATAGTCATATATATACTACTTTTTACAACTGGGATCCTGAGGATTAACTGTGCATTTTTGGTTTACAAAAGATTGATCCTCATCATCAGAAGACAAAAAGTCTAGTGGGGGGAATAAGTTGCAACGTTGGCAGAAGCAAGTGTTGTTTGCACAAATTGGAGTCTCATTGTCTCTACACTTAATATTGCAATTTACTGTTGTCTGACATGGTGTCACTGAAGGTGCATAACCTGTAAAAAATGAACAAATT